ATGACATGATAGGTGTAATATGACGCACTGCTAGGCGTGGCGAGCGACGCCGCGCTCGACGGACGAGTTGTCCTGTTTGGCCGTTTTAATGTGAGTGTCAAGGAAACGGAAGGTTCCTCCATTCTGTAGTGAGCGTGGAAACCTACAAAACGGAAGAGAAAGATGTACTCAATCAGCAGACGACTGACCCTACACTTCTGCTACCAATGATAAGTTTTGCTGGTTAACACGGCGTACAGTCCATATCTGACTACTAAAAGGGGTGTGCATAGCTGGGCGTGGCGATGACTGCGATGGCTCAAGGCTCTACACGAAAAAGAAGCCGAGACGTAGTATAGTTGATATCGTCGCAATCAGTTGGGACGATGTCAAGGGACGTGTAATGAACACGAACCTGGCTGTGTATTCTACCAATAGTGACCGTTTCGGGAAGAAAAAACCGAAGGTAAAACGCCGCTGTTGTTCTCCTTCCATGCTTCCAGACACCCTCCGACTGATTTCGACAATATGAACTGTATAAGAGATGAGAGCAGGCAACGGAATGCATTGCCGTCCCTGGGACGCCCCTTTCGCCCTTCAGGGACAAACTGTACACTCACTTCCGCAGACCTTTTCTTCAGTATGCGCGAAATGGAAGGGTCTGCACCTGCAGTAGCATACCACATTTTCCGGTCACAAGTGCGCGAGAACAGGGCTGGAGGTGTAATTATGCACAAGTGCCGTAACATACTTCGCCCGTGCTCTATAGCCAGCTCTATAGCCAGCTCTACATTCACGGACAGCCACTTGCTTAACCATATCCGAGCGCGCAACTTGTCTGCGCTCTCTCGCTTCTGATTATTCTCTCCCACTGAGTGCGTGTCTGCGGGATCTTGATATGGACGCAAGTGCTGCGCTTGATGATAGTGCGGACGGAGTATGCAGAGGGCACCCGGCCACCATCACCCTTCAGCCCCGCTGCTCCCAGGCACTTCTGAGCGAAGAAAGTGGAACGCCACTGCAGCTGCAGACCTCTGCACCTCGCGCATAAAAAGGATCCTCCTCGGGGTGAGTGTGCAGTTTCTCTCTGAACAATCAGAGAGGTGCAGGAGGTTCAGCAAGCTTCCTTGAACTATCCGAGATTCTATACAACATGCAAGCGCTGGATTGAGCAGGAGAAATTATTCATGCAAATGTTTCTACAATGGGATATGATTTAATGAAAGCGTTCCTGCAACTGTGAACGGAATGGTCCTAGCCGTTCAATTATGAATAACATGAGCTCACACAAGAGATAATAGGGAACATTCAATTAGACATAGCCATCTGGGCCTTCCCATAACCCTGCTCTGCCAGGAAATAAAAGATTCCTTATAAAGTATTTGTTGGTCGAGAGAGTGAATCAGAGGATACAAGGCTTTCGAGAAGCACAGATTCCAATGGGGCTGTCAAGCGTAAGTTTGTGGTGCTGAAGTTATCGTCTATTGCGCTCTACGCTAGACGTCTGCGCAAAGCGCTTCGAGACTTGTGCTTTCCCAGTCAACCGTCTTATCCTCTTGGACTTACCCTCACCGAAAGTTTACCTCAGCTAAAGGGAAAATAAAAGAGTTCAAGCGGATACCTCTTAGTGGCTGAGGCCCTCCTACCTGGGGTCCGAAATGCGACAGCCTTAGAAAAGAGTATTCTCACATAAATTATACACGGTGAAGCTTTTGCCATTGACCAGCCCCTCTTTAGGAGGTACAGCGCCAGGGCACATCATTGGTTGAGGATTTTAGTCGAGTCTGTACGGACCCCCCCCCTTTTTGGGAGTTGGTACGACCTCCCCCCAGCC